TGTCCTACCTCTGACATCTCAGTGCTCTCTGAGCAAAGCTCCGTCCTTCCTGGGAATTTTAGTCCACATTGTAAAGAGTTGGAAGGCTGGATCTGGCACTGAAGCTCCACTCCAGGAAACCTGCCTCAAAACAACACTCAAGCGATGGGCTGTATCCAGACTACTCTCAATTTCAGCCCTGTGAGGTTTGGGATTGTGCTTCTTTGCCAGATCTTTTACATGCTTTTTTGGGGGGCGGGGGTGGGGGGGCATTAGTAAGGTATTTAATAATAAATTCAAATTACAACTGGACAATCAAGTGGAACTAAATGGAACTGATTTGCTAACTAATATAGCAAGGAGCAAAAGAGCAGGACAGGGCACAAGTCTATTGAAACGAGCACATCATTATTACTGGCAAATTGTCATACGCATTAAACTTTAATCAATATCAGACAGTGCCCTGGGATGGGAAACGGAGGGGATGTGTGCACAGCCAGTAAACAGAGACATACACATAAATAGCACATACATGTGGATGTAGATGTGGATTAAACATAGACACAGATATAAGTGATCAATATGAAGTAATTGAGAGAAAGGCAAAGCATAATGAAGGAGTGTGATCTTACTGACAGGAGGAAAACAGAAATAGAAGGGGATAGAGGGAATTACAAGGCAATTCTCTAGGACTAACTTTGCTCTCCTAGAGAGGCAGACCTGGGAACTAAGAAGAAATTCTTTCTTGCTTGCTTGCTTGCTTGTTTGCTTTCCTCTCTCTGTCTTTGTGGTGTTTGCATACCTAAAAATTAACTGCCTTTAAAAATGGCCAATTTAATTGAATCAAAAGTGTTTCCTTAGATGATAAGTTACCATGGGGATAATTATGGTACACAAACTAAATAGCTAGATAGAACACTTGTCCTTATTCATGCCATTTTTCCAGGTTAATTGCACCTAGACTTGTAGTGACAGAGATCTCTTCCTTCAGAGAATCATCAGGTATTAAAGCCAGAAGGGATCATTAGAACTCTCTAGTTTGACTTCCTGTGTAATGGTTACCACATAAAAGTACTCATAACCTCTTGCATTTCAAGCTGAAGTTTATCTTTCAGAACTGGACTAAAGAGACTTTCCCTCTTCCATCTCTTTCCTGGACAAAGTTTAAAAAAATAGGGAACATGAGTCTGCCAACTCAACATCTCTGCTCCAGCATGTGGTGGAAGATTCTCTCTGCTGCTTCAATTCTTGAGTGCAGGAAGTGGTGTCTTATTAGTGGAGTCTGATGGTGCCTTCAGGTTTGCTGTTTCACTTTTCAGTGAGGGGAGAATAACGGAGGCCTGAAATTCTATTTATTCCTTTGGTCAAACATGCAGCCAGAAATCCTCCCTATACAATTATTATATCTATCTAAACTATTAAAATAAAAATATTTGAGAAAAGTCACCCCAGAAATCCATCGAAGCCTAAAGAAACAACTTATCCCAACCACACTACTTTCTTATGCTAGGCCTGATGAAGTATATATTGGCCTTGCAAGCATGGGTGTCTGTGACAGGGTGGGGGCCGGCAGCCGATCCCACTGGCTGGAGCGGGGTCCCCATGGCTGATCTCACTCCCTGGAAAAGCTGTCGCGCCGCTTCCTCTGGAACTCCCATGGCCACTTCTGGAAGCAGTGCAGCCACTTTTGCTGGTGGCCCTGCTCCCTGGCCAGGACTCATGGGGGGGCACTGCCCCCCTGCCCGCTGGCTACACAGGGAGCGCGGCCTGACAGGGGGTGCACTGGTGCTCTAAGGAGGTGCATCTGTACCCCCGTGCAGCCCCTACTTGTTGGCCCTGCTTGCAAGCTTTCTTGGAACAATATAAGAAGGAAGTTCCAGTTCCCAGGCCATGCTGCTGGGTAAAACATGTTCATCTACTATTGTTCTAATCTGGAGAGTTGAACAATATATCTATTCATGAAGGTGTGGTCACCTTTTGGGGCAAAATGGATAGCTGAGGAAAGTATCTCAGTGATAGAGAACAGGGCAGATGGCGACATAAAATGGAAATTTGGGAGATGAAGAAGGGAGGGAAGTAAGTTAGGCCAAAATAGAAAGCATTCCTCTAGCATTTGCTCATAGAAATACATCATTTGGGCCATGAAGGAACATTATAAGCAAGTCCCCAGTATATTAATAAGTATGCACATATATCCAATTATTCAAGTGAAGAATGCATATTAATAAGTAATATCCAGTGCTTTCATCACTATTTCACAAAGTGCTTTAAAAGGAGGTCAACATAATTATCCACATTTATAGATAGGAAAACGGAGGCACAAAAGTCACTACTCATTTACCAGTTCCACAAACCACTATGGACATATTTTAAATAAGTGTCCCGAGCTTTCTTAGAACTTTCCGCCTTCCCAAATGACTAGTCCCAAACACACAGCACTAGCCCTTCTCCTCACCCTTTTTATAACCCGCTTCCATGACAAGTCAGGCATTCTCAACCCTGTTGTATTTCCTTTTACTTTAGTAACCTCTGGTCATTGATATTTACAAAACTTTCCCTGCTTTTTATCTGAAAACCATGTATCTCCAAATCCCATTTGCATAGACTTAGGCTTTCTCCCAGTAATGTTTATAGGCACTTTAGTCATCTCATGAGAGTTTCTTAAAACCCTTTCTGGTTCAAATGATTCAGAGAAGAATCCAAACCATGGGCTCTTCTTTGCTAGATCTAAAGCCTCCATCTACCTGTGAAGTGCTTCAGAATCTATGAAAGTTGAGAGAGTAGCTAGATCTACAAACATTTATATTTACTAGAGCACTAGAAAAATGCTTAAGAAATGCCTGAAAATACAGTTAAAACATGTTTTAATCATTGTCTTGAACTGAGAAGGGAAAACATGGGAATCTGTCTTTTAGAAGTGATTAAGCACCTAAGCTGTGGTTCCTATAATAGTTAACATTTTCAGTAAGTGCTTGCCTTCTGAAAATTGGCTCCATGTAAGGTATCTCAAATTGAGTGCCAAAAATTAAGACATCCCAAATCACCCATCTCCTTTGAAAATGTATCCCAAACATTTGCTAGGGTAGAAATATCCAATTTGACATATACAAAAAGGTCATCTGTTTGTTACCTGCTTTAGGAATGTTAACTGACAGTGTAATTTTCAGTCTGGTAAATGTCTCCAACATAGTGGCTTATGTAGCATAACAATTGTGGGGGGAATGGAGAGAGAAGCATTGTTAAGGACAACATTTACTACCAAATCCTACACTCTGTGCATGAAAGTCTCTACATGAGCCATGGTTTAGCTCAGTGGTGCTCAACCTTCCAGCCCTTGGATCAGATGAACAGCACAGGGCTGGCCTGTGCCCAGATCCCATGTGCGGATGTAATCCTGTGTGCTGGCTAGACCCAGCTCTCTGTATCCAGCCACATGCTGGCCTGACCCCATGCACTAGCCTCACCATGGACTGGCGTGATTTAGCATGCAAGGCCATCTCATCCAGCCACTGGTTCTCCCCAAAGGCTCAAAAATTTGACAGCTGGGGAATGGCAATTACTGCTTCCACCATTCCCTTGGTGCCAAATCTATGGGCTTGTGGAGAGGCCCCAAGCTGGATGACACAGCTCTGAGGGCCAGATCTGGCCTGCAGGCCAAAGACTGAGCACTTTTGGTTTAGGTTAATAGTTATTGTTACAACATGGTTATCTCCCATCCAATTTAATTCACTTCTTGCATCATAAGGCGCAAAAGGCCAAAGTCATCACTAATCTATCTTATCCTATCCTTTTATTAGCCCATGTTGTCGAGCAGTATGGCTGCTACTTTCATCATTAATGTGATGTCCCTTCCAGCACTAAACTTCCGTGAATCTGTGATGTGAGGGGTTCCAATGGGTGGACCAGTTGTTTGGGGAACCTGCTACCTGACATTCTCAGGATGTGGCCAACATAAATCCCCCTTCTTGACTGCACTATTTTCACAGCTGTTGGTAACTGCCTCCTCCAAGATCTTGTCAATCTCTGATCCATCAGGTAACTTGATTCTGCACGTCTCATGCAGGCCTCCACTGTACAAACTCTTTACTCAGTGTTAAAAGCTTGTAGTATAGCTGGGCCCTTAACCATGTCCAAGAACCATGCCCCTTTTGACTGTCTTGCGCAATTGATTAAAGTCTTAAATGCTTACATATATTTGATGGACAAGTAGAAACTGAAACACAAATAGCTTGATACTCTTCACAAACAGCAGTGCAGTCATGCTTAATTATCTGAGTGCACAACTGTGTGTAGCCAGATCACTGACATAGCTGTACTTTTTAGGAACAGGATTTTTAAAAGTGCTGGGCTGCAGCCTAATTCTGTTCCCATTGCAGTTAATAGTAAAGTTCCTATTCACGTAAATGGGATCAGAGTGAGGCCAATGCTAAATTCTTTTGAAAGTCTCTCACACCTGGGTTATCTGCCCCAAAGTGAGGGCAGGTTGACTGCCACTTCTCCCTGAGCAGAATCTGGTAGCTACACTGCTTCACATGCATTGCATAGTTTACTATGATATCATCAGAACCCTTCCCCCACATGGATTTATAGTGGTGTAATTTTCAGGATTACCCATAACACATATGCTAGCCTGTGCAGGAGTCTCTGAGTTCTGAACATATTTTGATCATATGCTATGACAATGAAGCCTGTTTGTTAGCAATTCATTTTTCCTCCCACTGCAGGCTTTAAGACTGAGAAAACTTCAGCTGCTTCAGTGACTGAATGTTTATAACATTGATAGATGTTTGCTAAGCATTGGGAGAAAAAGACAAAAAATAGAAAGAAAGAAGGGGAAGATGATGCAGAGGATTCCAGTGCTGGCTTTGCTAGAACAAGTTGACATGGGTTGCGAAGGAGCCTGAAACTTAAAAAGATTTATTTTCTCTAGTCATAAATCTCATCCCGTTGTTCCTCTGACCAACCAAGCATGATAAAGTCCTTTTCCATAAAGTATTCAGTATTAAAGCCACAAAGCTCACCCAATCAGTAGCCATCTGCTTCTACCATAACTGCTGCTCCAGAAGCAGGGAAAAGCAGCCAGAAGAGAAAGGGCACCACTGTTAGGGCTCTGGGACAAATGAGGAGGCACTGAATAGCATTTGAAACCTTTAGTTTTCCTTGTATATCTGTATCTATAGAGACAGAGAAAGAAAGGAAGCATTATATTGATACAACAATTGTAAAACAAAAAAAGGAAGAGGCATCTAAAGGGCAATATAGCATGCATCAGAGGGCCCCACATAAAAGGGATGCTAACAGATTTATAGAAACCTTTAATTGGTTTTCAATTGAAAGATAAAGAGGTTGAGGGAAAAGTGTGAAGAGTGGCAAAATGTTCTGCATTAGTCTTCTGTGTATGTGCGCAATTTAATGCTGTCACATACTTTTAAACATGATTTTTCCCTCCTAAATGGCCCCCTCAGAAAGCTTGCCTTCTTGTTCCTCCAAAATATCCAAACTCCAACAGAACCCCCCCATCCTGCTTTAAGTTTCATCAGCAGCTGTTTCAAACTAAATTTTAAGTATAGACATTGTGTCTCTCATATAATTTCTGTACTATCATGTTACAACATCACTCTTACACTACCATAAGGGGAAAAATAATTAAACATAATTCTGAGGATTCCTCACTGGCTACAAGGATTTTGGATATACAAAGGCATGGCATTCCAGCTAACTGTGGCAACTGGGTGTTTCAAAATGGGAGAAGATCAATGAATAATTCCCAGCAGCCAGGAAATACGTACACATTCAGACTGCCTGTTTCAAAATGCAACCCTAATAGTTTTACTCTGATGCCAACAATTATCTCTGACAATGCAGGTTAACCCCTTCCTGCCCTTGGCAGCTTGCAGCCCGGGAGGTTCCAGGGCCTATTACAGAATTCTGCAGTCCTGGACATGAGTTTGTTCCATCGGGCAATTTATTATTTCGACCCTCCATTATCTTTGTTGGTCCCCTAATTAATAAAATAAAAAGCAATGGTGCATATTACGATTATGAGGGGATGGAAGATGGTTTTGAATGTGAGGAAAAAAATGATTAAGTTAATGACATGGGGTAGAAATCTGAAGTAAGATAAACAGCCCCTGAGATGGGCAAATTCCAACTTGTTGCCTTGGCCTGGTGATGCTGGGATTGATCTAGTGGTGTTAAGCACCGAATTAGGCCACTACCCTGGGAAGGCTTTGACAATGATCATGCTCTGTGCCTTATGTTAGAGTCAGAGGCACACCCGTTGCCCACCCCGGGGGTTATTATGGGCTTAATGATGGAGTTATTTGATTCCATAAGAGAAAAATGTTTGGTTGAAATACACAGCAGATTATGTTAATGGTCTCTCCTCCCTGCAACCCCTCATCATTTTTATTTATTTATTTTTTTGCATATGAGTATTTCCCTAATCAGACTGAAAAGACCATGTCACAACAACAACAAACCAATGGAGTAGGTCAGCAATGCCATTTACCCATGTAAGGGATTAATAAAGGCAGTGTATAATGCTGCTTTTCAGAATTACTCTTGGGATTAGGGAGACAGATATGGCAGGGGGACATATTTTGCATTCACTCTCCATTTTGATTACTGTTTGTTGGAGGGTGTGTGCATGTGTGTGTGTGCACCTGTGTATGTGTACTTGTGTGTGTGATTGTGTGCATGTTTGTGTGTGTATGTGTCTGTGTGTGTGTGCCTGTGTGTGTGCCTGCATGTGTGCATGTGTGTGCATACCTGTTTGTGTGTGCTTAGTGCTTGTGTGTGCCTGTGTGTGTACCTGTGTGCATGCCAAACTGTGTGTGCTTCAATGTGTTTGTGTATATGTATCTATGTGTGTGTGTGTGCCTGTGTATGTGTCTGTGTGCACCTGTTTGTGTGCGTGCTTGTGTGCCTATGTGCATGCCTGTGTGAGTGTGTGTATATGCATCTGTGTGTGTGTGTGTGTGTCTATGTGTGAGTCTGTTTGTTTGTATGCTTGTGTGTGCCTATGTGTTTGCCTGTGTGTGTGCTTGCGTGTATAGGTGTCTATGTGTGTGTGTGCCTGTGTGTGTCAATGTGGGTGCACGACGGGGTGTGTGCGCGTGCTGGGACGTATTAGCTGAACCCGCTTGGCGTGGGCTCTGGCACTTGAGGAGAGGACGATGCCTTGGCGCTCGCGGGAACGAGGAGGAGGAGACTGGTGCAGCGGGTGTGTCAGCACCGACCGGGGGGTTTCCCACCAGTGCCATCACACGCGGCGCGGCGGCGCGGGCAGGGCGCCTCGGCTCGGGACCCCCCGCAGCCGGGGACGGGGCGGCCCG